TTAAAAAAAAAAAAAAAAAAAAAAAAGAAAAACTCCCTAGCCGATCTAGATGAACTATGCTAAAGTTGGCCTACTATACCCAAAACCATTAGCTAATCAAAGTCGGCAATGAACTATGCTAAAGTTGGCCTACTATACCCAAAACCGTTAGCTAATCAAAGTCGGCGATGAACTATGCTAAAGTTGGCCTACTATACTCAAAACCGTTAGCTAATCAAAGTCGGCGATGAACTATGCTAAAGTTGGTCTATTATACTCAAAACCATTAGCTAATCAAGGTCAGCGATGAACTATGCTAAAGTTAGCCTACTATACTCAAAACCGTTAGCTAATCAAAATCGGTGATGAACTATGCTAAAGTTAGCCTACTATACACAAAACCGTTAGCTAATCAAAGTCGGCAGTACCATCCTCAAGTTCCACCCAAAAAACAATATTTTGATTTAACCTCTTCAACTAAATCAACTGTCCTTAAAACTATTACATAGTCATGATTCTTAGTTCTACAACACGTGGAGTGATTCGAACCTCTGGCTTCTTGGTCGAAGGCATATGACTCATCTATCATTAAACGGTAACTACTATAACCAGCGTTATAGAAGACACTAAAGCTTTGAAACTCTTACATTTCTTATGAGAATGATGGATGGTGCAAGGATAATGTTCTATGGGTGCAGAAGAGGAGGAATTACATGCTAAATGAAGAAACCTTAAGGCCATCTAGTTTATGAAATGGAAAAATGTTTGGTATAGTAAGAAGCTCAAACAGAAAAGTAATGCAATAGATCATTGAACGAAATCAAAGCTTTCAAAAATGGTAGCGTAGCTAAGAACATTTTGATGAACAGCCAGCAGAACACACAGTTCAATCTCACAGTCATGACCAAGGCAATAGAATCATTGAACAAAATTTAAAAGATCAGAAGCTTATATTGATCCAAAAGAAGATAGTATTATTTCCAAATCTAATCTAGAATGCAAGTGGAGATTAGAATCAAAGCTATACTGAGTCCGGAACTCACTAATTAACAGATAGAACCCTAGTAAAAGTAAGCCTAATCAGATCAAATCAAGTTTTTATCAGAATTCATAATCGAAATGGGGGAAAAGGTGTAATAATTTGATCCAAGCCTGACCTAAATCAGTTCGTCTTAGGATCTGGCATCGGGAACAAGCCGGCGGCAGCACCGGCGCCTCTCGGTGGCGAGAATCCCAAGAACTTCTGGAGATTGGTCCGAATGCTAATCGAACAGAGGAAGTACAAGAACGCCATTGCACAATCGGTAGGATCGTCACCGAGTAACCCTCGGTGACTCATCTTCATCACAAGACCAAAAGGCTTAAACGGCAATTTGGCAACAACCTTGCCCTCGAAGAGCGAATTGAGCAATCCAAAGACGACGAACAGAACAAGAGCAACAACGGCGCCGGATTTAAACTTGAAAAGCGAGAGGTCGCGGCTCGATTCCTTAAGACTGGTCTCGACGCGATCGATCTTCTTGGTCTTCGATTTCTTGACGTTGATTTTGGAGGTGTCGGTCTTCATGGTCTCGAGCTTTTTGGCGGCCTTGTCGATGGAGGATCGAAGGGTTTTGTAGGAGTTGGTGCGGTAGATGAGAATCCATGAGATGGCCTCGCAGATGACGGCAGTGCAGACAGAGATTCCGACCACCGTGAGGCTGTCGGAATATCGGAAGGAGGAAAAGAGGGGGATTGTGGCCATCGCCGGAGTTGGAAGAGAAAATGAGGGAATCCGAGGGAGAGCGCGATGAATTTTTGTGGAGAACTGGATTTGGATCCAAAGTAGTAACTGGGCTGAATCTGACGATGTTCCTTCAAATAAAAATATCAAATTTGTTCGTCTTCCTTCTTGAAATTGAGATTGTACTTTTTAGTTTCTTTTATACTTGAGAGTATCTGGTAGTTCATATATATCTCAAGTCAAGCATCTCGGTAAAGATTCGGAATCCAATAGTCGGTAAAGATTCGGAATCCAATAGATACATTGTTAAGGATATTTAGTAATAAATTATAGTTTACCATATATATTAGATTTGATATTTTATTATAAGACAAATATCTAACATTTGCCTTATTACTATAGGTATTTTTCCATTTATTGTTATTTCCATTTATTACTATTTCCATATCCTTGTAATTTATTTGATTATAAATAAGATAACTTTCACACCATTTAGGTGTGGTGGATTCAGCAAACATTCACATGGTATCAGAGCCATTTTGGTTTAGCAACCTAGATCCTTTCTTTTCAATGGCTTTTGAAATCTTCTACTGTTCTTCTCCACCACCACTGTTGTCTTTGATGCCGCAGGGGCAGTCGTCATGGCTGTCACATGCAGAGTCGATTGATTATTCTTCGGCTCCACCTTTTTGACCTCCAAATCATCCTTCGCCATACTCTGTACATACAACCTCACCTTTTCCAAACATAGCCTCTTTCATTTTCTTCCCAATTTTTCTTCATCCTTCACAAAAACCCTAATCTTAGGATCTTCATCAGCATTCCTCTTCGAAAATATACAGAATCTCAATAAGCCCATTGACCTTCTGCAGAGATTTACCTTTGGAATCTGGGCGCCGCACTGGCATCTTTGCCAACCAAGTTGCCGCTGCCCTTCTCGCCAAAATTGGCTCCTTCGCCCCAATGTGGCGACTCTTCCAGCTGCCCTTCTCGCCAAAATTGGCTCCTTCGCCCCAATGTGGCGACTCTTCCAGCTGCCCTTCTCGCCAAAATTGGCTCCTTCGCCCCAATGTGGCGACTCTTCCAGCTGCCCTTCTCGCCAAAATTGGCTCCTTCGCCCCAATGTGGCGACTCTTCCAGCTTCAACATTGTCTTTGTCCCTTGCTCTAGGTTTCCCCTGCTACTTCTTGGGGTTAGACATATTCTCACCAGAGCCAAGTCAGCATCATCGCTAAGCGACAATCCCTCTTCATGGGTTAGACATATTCTCACCGAAGCCAAGGCAGCATCGCCGCTGAGCGGCGATCTCTCTGCAGTTTTTCGATGGTCAAGAAAGTGTTTCTCTACGCCTCCTCTGAACCAGGTTGTTAACATCTTCACGAAAAGTGTTTCTCAACCTCTTTGAATTTTTCAGATTCAAGCTTCACGTTCGTTTAAATCCGACGCTTAGCTTGCGGTGGGGTGTTAAGGATATTTAGTAATAAATTATAGTTTACCATATATATTAGATTTGATATTTTATTATAAGGCAAATATCTAACATTTGCCTTATTACTATAGGTATTTTTCCATTTATTGTTATTTCCATTTATTACTATTTCCATATCCTTGTAATTTATTTGATTATAAATAAGATAACTTTCACACCATTTAGGTGTGGTGGATTCAGCAAACATTCACATACATTTTAAAACCACGAAGCTGATGGTGAAACGTAACGGGCTAAAGCAAACAATATCGGCTTGCTAAGCTAGTTGGAGAGGGGAACAGGTATAGAAACCTCTACCCAATAGACGCATTTTAAAACCACGAGGCTGATGGTGAAACGTATCAGGCCAAAGTCCTAGGCAGTTACAAATGGTATCAGTGGATTGTGAGATCCAACATCGGTTGGAGAAGGGAAACAAAGCATTCCATAGAAACCTCTCCTTAGTAGACCGTGTTTGAAAACTATGAGACTAAACTAACGACAATTCATAACGGGCCAAAGTGATACAAATTCCACTGCAACATCAAGTCTTGATACATACATATATTTCATGTCTAATTTGTGCAGCAAAATGTTTGGAAACTGGATAAACAAAATTTGGTTGTTTTATCATTGATCATCACAAGAATATTATGGGAAGGTGATGCAAATGATAAAGTTGATAATCTCTGATCCATGTTGGTTGCTTAAACTTGCATCCAACAAGATTGATACAAATACATTACTATTTAATCTTAATCAGATCAAATTCCTAAGTTGTTTGGATGAAAAAATTATGATAACTAGATGAGCAAGATTTGGGCATCTTGACAACTTCCTTCCAAGGATGCTTTTAAGATTACAAATTACAGGAGAGATTACTGTGCCTGTGCCTGCGCCTGCGCCTGTATGTTAACCAAACGTGTATATAATCTCATGGACGTGGTTGAGACTCAGGTCCTGGTGGTTTTGTAGAATTCATGAGTGGTTGTAGAGCCTTAACCACAATTGTCATGTTTGGCCTGAAGTCCGCTTCGTACTGAACACACAGTGCTGCTACTGCTGCCAACTGACAGAGATTCACACCAAACAATATTGAAATAAGAATCCATGCTCAAACATACATAAACATGAAAATCCACTCAAGAAAATGTATGGGGCTGCTTTTGACCTTCCTACCCAAGAGAAACTATCATGTTACAGAGTAATAGATGATTATCATGGCTTCTTAGACCCATCTACTAGTGTTCTAGCACGAAATCTGTAATAGCACAAGCTCACCATTAACAAATATTGTCTACTTTGACCCGTTGCGTATCACCGTCAGCCTCAAAGTTTTAGAATGCATCTACTAGGGAGAGATCTCCACATCCTTAAAAAAAAAAAATGTTTCGTTCCCCTCTCTAACCAATATAGGATCTCATAATCTACGCCCCTCTAATACCATTTGTAACAGCCAAAGCCCACTGCCCACAGATATTGACTGCTTTGGCCTTGTTACGTATCGCCATTAGCCTCACGGTTTTAAACATATCTACCAAGGAGAGATTTCCACATTCTTATAAGGAATGAGGATTCATTTCTCACCGACCAATGTGGGATATCAGAAAATGACCGAGTGTTTTATAAGCAAACACTTCAGCTTACTTTTAGCCTAGTATTTGATTGGAAAGCATTAATGCACTTATATGAGCATAGAACAAAACAACACAAATGGATTGTTACTAAGCAATAATCAAAGTTCTTGCTAAGGTAATTATATTGAAAGCATATCAAAAAAACATCTTTTTACGTACAAAGTTGAATGATCTCAATCCAACTTTGAAAATTGCACTTATGTGATTACACAGTAGAAGATACCTTTGCTATCGCTTTCGGTGGGTAATCGTTGTTTAGCTTGGGATCTACACACTGTTTCACCTTGTCCTCGCTTAATCTCGGTGTTGCCTGCAGAATAATATGAATGGCTAATTAGGACTCAGTACACTGCAGGCACTAAGAAGAATGTAGTAAGGGAAACCTTACCCAAGTAACAAGACTTTGTTGTCCCTTAGGCATCGTGTGATCTACTGGCTTTCGTCCTGTCAAAAGTTCGAGAAGAACTACACCGAAACTATAAACGTCACTCTTCTGAGTAATCTGTCCTGTCATAGCATACCTAAAAAAAGCAAGACATAAGATGGTAAGTTTTAAGTTGAATCGTGTAACGGTCCAAACCCACCGCTAGTAGATATCGTCCTCTTTAGACTTCCCCTTTCAGGCTCCTCTCGTTTGCTAGGGAGAGGTTTCCACACCCTTATAAAGAATGTTTCATTCTCCCCTCAACCGATGCGGGATCTCACAATCCACCCCTTAAATCTAAACATTTGGAGACCAAAATGGAATTTAAAATACACAAGTAGACACACAAAGGGCTTACTCTGGAGCATGGTATCCAAATGTTCCTAAGACCCTAGTTGAATGAAGTCGTGCCGCTGTGTCAGACGACTGATTCGTCAAGTTGAAATCAGCAATCTTTGCAAGGAAGTCGTCGAAGAGAAGAACGTTACTCGACCGGATATCACGATGAACTATGGAAGGCTGAACCTTCTCGTGTAAATATTCAAGGCCTTTTGCTGCACCATAGGCAATTTTGACTCTCTGATTCCAAGTAAGAACAGGACCAGGCTCAGCCCCTTGTACTCCTTTCCTTCCTGCACTAGAAAAATGATCAGAACAACAAAAACAAGAAACTCTCTAACTTAAATCGACATACCATGTAATATATCGTGCAGAGATCCCATTTTTGCAAACTGATATATCAATATTCGATTATTTGCCTCCAAACAATACCCAATTAACTCCATAAAGTTCTCTTGCTGAAGTCTAGAAACAATTGATAGCTGCAACACCATGACAACACATAAATACAATAGCATTACAATGAAGATGCTAACATCTCATTCATACTTGTTCAATATCAAACCTGAGCGGCAAAATCAGTATCAGGCTCTGGTGAAGAACTAGTATCTAGTTTCTTTATTGCAGCAGCCTGACCGCTCTTTAATGTCGCGTAATAAACCCGGCCGTAGGAACCTTCACCAATAAACGATTTCGTACCGAAGTTACCCGTCAACCTATTTAGCTCATCCAATGGAATGACTGGTGTTTCAATAGGCAACACTTGCTGGGGAGGTCCACCTCTGACGGCATTGGAACTCCTGGGCTCTCCTCTCTCGCTGCCTACAAACCATAAATCAACATACATAATCCCGATCTCAACAGACCACATTACATCATCCATAGCCACAAAAAGGCAAATCCCACATTTGAATCCACAGAGCCAACCAATATGCCTAAGAACAAAGACTAAAAAACAACAAAATTCAACAGAATCCTGCGCCTCCCAACAAACAAATTGCGTGCAAGAACAGAACAAGGAAAGAATCATCAGGAAGGACCATTTACCACCATATGTGTTTCCCCTCGGTGGGGCTGTGTATTGACTCGAAGGCGCGCCAAAATTGTCCTCCTCCACACCTCCGCAGCAGAACATCGCTTCTCGTCAATTCGTGGTAACCTAAAAAACCTACAGACACGGGAAAATTCATCAAATGCATATAAAACAAGACGATCGAAATCAGAAAAGGGCATCTTCAAAATCGAAGATATAAACAAAGACTTAAATTAAAAACCCATCGGAATTTCGTCGAGGAAGTCGAGACCC